AATAAAATGCCAAAGAATTCAAAAGAGTGATTATAAGTATGTTTGAAAAAAATCAAAGAAGGTACAGATAAACTCTTAAATGGATTGAAAGGAACACCACATTTGAATGAAATAAGAAAGTCAACACAAGATATAAAAGTGGAATTCACTAAAGATAAAAAATACTGGAGAAGGAGTATCCTTAAAAGACTAATAGAAAGTGCATATCTCAGCATAATTGAAGCCATATACAATGAACTTATAGCCAACACACATGAAACCAGCAAAAACTAAAATCATGACCAGGCAATGGAGCCTAATTTTATTCAATGTAGAGCTTGGAACCACAGCTAAAGCAATAAGACAGGAAAAGGAAATAAAACGGATACCAAAGACGTCAAAATGCCCTTATTTGAAAATAATATGAATCTATATAAAAGAGACCCTAAAGACTATCTCAGCAAACTCTTAAGTCTGATGAACATTTCTAGCAAAGTGGCAAAATACAAAACTAATATGCAAAAATCAGTGGTCTTGCTATCTACCAGTAACAAACATGTTCATAAATAAGTCAGGAAAACAACCCCACCCATACCTTGAAATAAACGTAGCCAAGAAAAGAGAAGATCTTCACAAAGACAACTGTGAAACACTCAAGCAATAGACTTAAGAAGACACAGAAAGATCAAAAGGACTTCCATGTTCATAGACGAGAAGATATATGCTGGGGAGATGCCGGAGAGACCAAAAGTAATCTACATCGTCCATACAATCCTCACCAAAATTCCAATGTTACTCTTTGCAGACACAGAAGACATAGATGGTCAGGGAGATGTGGTTTCAGCATTTAAGAACCCTTTTTGCTCTTCCAGAGGACCCAGGTTTGGTTTCCCGCACCCACACGGTAGCTCGCAGCCACCTGTAACTCCCGTTACAGGAATCTGACGCCCTCTTCTGAACTCCGCCAACACTCACTGCATGCCTGTGATACACTCAAACACATCAGGCAAAACACGCAGAAAATGAAAACTAAAAAGAAAATCTTTCAAAAGAATAACGCAGAAGCACAGAAAGAGCCCTGATATCCAGAAAAAACTGGGCACAAAGAGTGACGCTGGAGCTGTATTACCACACCGCGTCTCAGGTTATACTTCAGAACAGCGATAACGAAAACAGTACGGTATGGGCACAAACGGTGATTCATCAGTGGAACAGACCGGGGGCGCAGACCTGAGCCACCAAACTGGAGCCACCTGCCGTCTTTTGGCGAAGATGCCAAAAATAAACACTGGTGAAAAGCCGGTCTCTTTAACCAACAACGCTGGCGGAACTGAACAGCCTAGAGGACTGACCTAGACCACTACCGCTCTCCTGCACAAAGTCAGCTCCAGATGGATCCAAGACCTAGTGTGGGATCTGAAATTCCCTTAGGGGAAAGATTGTAGGGAAAGCACTTCAAAATCCAGGCGTAGCCAAGGGCTTTCCTAAATGGAACTTCAGTCCCTCAGAAAAGAATGCTACCAAGTGACAAACAGGACCTCATAAGGTCAAAACAAGCAGTAACGGAAGCAACTAAGTGGAAAGATTGTTTCCATCTCAGCCCACTCCGGTCTTGTTCTATGCTACCAACAGGTTTCTATGGGCCATTTATCACACAGCAGAAGTGACAGCTAAGCCTTGCTTCTTTTTCATGGTTTAAAGCCGAGTGCTGAGCTGTGAGTCTATCTGGGTCCTAACTCAGAAAACGCAGAACTTTTCCTTTGTCATTGTTGTTATCGTTTGTTTGTTTTTCTTCGAGACAGGGTTTCCCTGTGTAGTTTTGGAGGCTGTCCTGTAACTGACTCTGTAGACCAGGCTGGCCTCAAACGCCCAGAGATCCGCCTGCCTCTGCCTCCTGAGTGCTGGGATTAAAGGCGTGCGCCACCAACACCTGGCTTCTTTTCTCTTTCTTTACTACACTGGCCAAAACCTAGGTGTGCGTTCTCTAACACTTGGGCCTTCTCTTCCTCCAAAGCGCCCTACCCTTCCCTTCCCTAAACAGACGCTTATCTCCCCACCATTTTGCTATTAACCTTCACGCCTAACTCAAAAACATGCCTTTCTCCCTTCCTCCCTTGCCTTGCTCAGCGGAACCGTTTGTTCCGAGGCTCAGCATCTCTGAGAAGGCCTCTATGAGGCTTCCAGGGCTGGGTTTGCCACAGGCTCATAAATCACAGCCACACGTCTTCCGCCGCACCTCTTCGCATACCTGGAATTCATGCAACAGCGGGTGAGCCAGAAACGGGGCTCCTGGGCGTGGCCTTCTGCTTGAAAGTGGGAAAATGTTAGGAAATGCCCGGCCCAGCTACCTCGTTTTCCCTGATGAAAAACTGAAACCCAAGATCCCAGCAGCCACTCACACCTTGCAGTCTCTTTAGCTCAGGGCAAAATGGGCTCACGCTTCCCTGACTTAACTCTCCATGAGGATGGGGGTGCCCCACAGCGGCTCAAAAAGCTTGCCAACGCTGGGAACTGGAAATGCATCACTTCCGCTGGCAGAACATGGAAACAGCAGGGGGGGTGAGGGGAGAGAGATAAGAACCGAGAAATGTGTCTTCCGGGACAAGAAAGGTGTTCCAGACACTTGGGGGCCACAAATGTCCTCCTTGGCTGCATAATGCTAATGAGTTCCGGCCTGTCTCACTGACTGTCCTCGAAGCTAACGACAGAGGCCTTCAGACCAATCTGCACAGGGGTATGCCATGGGCACAGACCTAGCTTCATGGTGCCCGCCGGGGCCTGGATGCCGCTAAAGGAACTAGGCCCAGAACAAAACTGCGTGGACTTTTCACAAGCCAGATGCATGTGCTTACCGTAGTGACGGTGCCTTTCGATGGGGAAAAAAAAAATGCTGGGGCAGGCCAGCCACAGACTCTTAAGTCATAAATGTTGGAGGAGTGGAATTAAGCTTGCGCGATAGACTTGGAAGCCATCAACCGTGGAGCTTGCGCTCCCCCTAGTGGCAGCCGTTGATTACTGCCTGGAGGAGTCCTCTCCACCCATCAAGAGGCTTTAGCCCCACCCAGGGAGTCACTAGGTCAAGCCCTCTGTACCCAGCAAGTGAAAGACTCTCTGGGCCGGGCTCTGGGCTAGCACTGTCACGTCTTTGGTCTGATTAATTATCGCATTGGCCAAGGTCATTAGACGCATTTTATAGATGACGAAAGGAAGTTCACAAAGCTTAAAGGCCTGGACCAGAGCTACCCAGAAGATTCCAAGGAGACCTGGGGGACCCCTGATTCAAGGCTGCTTCCCCAAAGTGCTGTGGATGCAGAGATGGGAACTCGGTGTGCATTAACAGGGAAGGCTGACCCCTATTAAACAGTTAGAACGCAAAGTCCAAGGGCTGCTTGCTCATCTGGGGGTAGGAAAGGCTCATGTGCTGGGATCTGGGTGCTCTCACTCGCCAACGCCCCTGGCCTTCCTGCACCCCTCCACCCTCCCAGCCTGCCATCCAGCATCCCACACACACTTGCATCCCCTCGACCTCAGCACCCCCTCCCCCACTCCCACTGCGGCATCCCCAGGCAGCACCCCTCACCTTGCAGCATCCCCTGGCCTTCTGAGACCCCGGGCCCCAGGAAGCAGCCCATGGGTGGACCACTGCATCCATCTCTAGTGAAGACAACCGAGAGAATAGCTTCCCTCCAGTCCCTCAACCTAATACGAAATAAGGTCCTCGTTTGCATAGCTGTAAAAGAAAGAACGAGAGAGAAAGAGAGAGAGAGAGAAAGAGAGAGAGAGAGAGAGAGAGAAGAAAGAAAGAAAGAAAGAAAGAAAGAAAGAAAGAAAGAAAGAAGGAAGGAAACATCATTAATCAGCTTCCACCTTCCTGTGCGCTCAGTCAAGGCAGTCAAAACAAAAAAAAAAAAGAGTTTAATTGTCTTCTTTTTCCGAGTTTGACCAATCACATCAAGGAAGACAGAGTCCTGTGCTAGTTTGGCACAGGCCAAGTCACTTGGGCCAGTTAGTAGAAGTGACAGGTTAAGCAGTGATTGTGGCCAGGGGGGACCTTGACACCTATCCATACAAAGAACCAGGATGTCATTTCTGCTTGCTAATGACAAGCTGTCTCACAACAGTGCCCATCACTAGCTGACTTCATCACTGGGGAGTCTACCTTTGCACGCATACAGCACACGGCAGGCCTTTTTCCTTCTGGATGCGTATAAAAACATTTTATAGAAACAATAGCATCTCTCTTTTTTTTTTTTTTTTTTGGTTTTTACAAGACAGGGTTTCTCTGTATTGTTTTGGAGGCTGTCGGTCCAGCTCGGCCTCGAACTCACAGAGATCCACCTGCCTCTGCCTCCCGAGTGCTGGGATTAAAGGCGTGCACCACCAACACCCGGCAACAATAGCATCTCTTACGCAGCTTCACAAGCTGCTCTTCCTTCCCACACTATAAATACTTCGTCATATTATTTAAATATTCTACTTCATATTTTGAGATCTGGGGCATTGTGGTTTGTTATTTGGAGTTTGTTTTTTGTTTTTGTTTTTCTGTGGTTTGGTTTGGTTTGGTTTGGCTTTTTGAGGCAGAGTTTCATGCATCCCACGGTGGCCTGGAATTCCCTATGTAGCTGAAAATGACCTGGAATTTCTGATCCACCGTCCTCTACCTCCGGGGTGTTGAGATTGATGGTGTTCACCATCACACCTGGTTTATGTGATGTTGGGGGAGCAAATTCAGGCTTTGCAGATCCTGGGCAAGCCTGCTACCAGCTGAGCTACATCCCCAACTTACCTCAGCTTGTCTGGGTTTGTTTGTATGGTCAAGTTCTCACTATTTAGTCAAAACTGGCCTGGAACTCATTAGGTAGCCAGGCTGGCTTCCAATTCTCAATCCTTCTGCCTCAGCCTCCCACGTACTTGGATTACAGGAATATACCACCACACCCTGTTTCGCCTAGCTTATATTTTACCATTGCCTACATCTCTAATTTGTAGATTTATCTGATTAAAACACAGATACACAGCCATGTGAAAATGGAAAGTGACCTTCGTGGGGCTTTGGGGTTTTTATTATAAAAGACCTGGAAAAAAATCAAAGCGTTTGCTGCACCTTCACCTCTCACATTCAAATCAGCGTATAATAGAATTTCCAAATATTCATCCAGGAGCTGCTCATCTTTTGTTCAAACGGCGTGAAGAGTGTGAGTCTGAACTTCGGTGCTGGGGGTTCTGGGTTCCGATTCCGCTGCTACCGTGCACTGTCTGGACAGCTTTGGGCTGGGCAGAGCCTCATTCCTTTGTCCATAGTGGACCAGTCCTGACACCACAGTGCCCCAGCACCCCCCAGTGACACTGCAAGAAGCAATAAAACAATGTGTGGGAAAACCCTTCACTTACACCAGCAGGTGATGCTCAGTCAGTCAGTTCTCTGTATCTCCTCTCCCCCTCCAGCAACGAGCTTCCCACCACCCTGGGACTTTACAAGTCTGTGTCTTCACCTGAGCCTGCACCAAATCCCAGTGCTCGGCCAGTCCCCCTGGCACTAGACGGACACTGTTTTCATTATTTTAGCTTCATAAGTAGTTTCACTACCCCTGGAATGAGCCTCCTCATCGTGCCTCTATGAAGATGTGCCTTTCCCAAGGCACTGTCTGATTGGCTTAATAAAGAGCTGAATAGCCAATAAGCTAGGCCAGAAAGGATAGGCAGGACTTCTGGGCAGAGATATGTTTCTACCCTTGTTTAAGGTATTATATACCTATGCAGCTCATTTGAAAATGTAATGTCAAGTTTTAGTCCTTGGGATAATAAAGAAAGACAGGTTAGTAGTTTGTCATCTGTAACAACCAGACTTATGGCCATGTTAGATATGTTCCCGAGGTCAAACAGAGAAATACTTTAAATAGTTGGTCTTCAAACACTTCAAAGACCTAAAGAATATGGCATTCAAAATGTTTTATTAGCATAAGACTTTTCATGACAGTGAGACACATCTGCTCCTGGCAGCACCAATTTACTTCAAAAGAGGATGACGGGCATCAAAGACCCTCCATATGGAGTCTGCCTTCATTTGTGGCAAGGTTAGCCACTGGGCAAAGAGACTGCCTTTGCTTCAGCTGCTGAAAGTATGGTGTCCAAACTGGACAGGCAGGACTCAAAAAGAAGACAATTGGCAAACTTTTTCATGACCAGATAAGACAGTCCTTCAGAATTCCTGCTTCGCAGAAAAGTCTGTCAGATACTTTAGGCCCATAGGCAGAAGATGCTTGCCCCAATGTTACAGAGGAAACTTGGGTGACTGTCCAGGCAGCCAGCTGTTTCTGTCCTTTCTATAGTTTGAAAGTTGTTTGCTCTGCACATCCTGTTTACTCAGGTAATATTATGTCCTCCTCAGGTCTCTGATGGAGTTGGAGACGAGATAACTATAGTTACAGTTTCCCTTGTTACCAAATTCAGAAAAGAAACTAACAAAAAGAGGTACAAAGTGTGTAAGGTTAAGAGATATAAAAGCTTAAATTGTTTATCTGAGAAAATGTTTCCAGGTCTAGAAAATAGTTTCCGGATGGGTAATATGAGTTGGGATAAAAAGTAAATTAGGTAAAAAACTTTGGACTCACCAAGATAGGACAGATAATGGAGTATTTTCTCTGAATTTGCCAAATGCAAATGGACTGGTTATTGCGAATATAATTCTCACCTGATAATTGCTTTTATTATATATAGTTTTACTATGTTAGCGTTAAAACTTTCCCTTTTTTATTTAGACAATACCTGATAATTGTTCTTATTGTATATAATTTTACTAAGTTAGCATTAAAACCTTTGTTTTATTTAGACAAAAAAAAATTGCCCAGTGAGAAAGATCAGTGCGTAAAGGCACCTATCACAAAATCTAATGACCTGAATTCAATCCCTGTAACCCACACGGCAGGAGGAGAGAATCGACTCCCAAAGATTGCCTTCTGGCTTCCACATACACAGTAAATAAATAAATAAGCAAGCAAGCAATCTATTAAAATGATGAAGGGACCAAAGTCTTAGAGGAGTAAGTGGTCAGGAGGAGACAGAGACAGGGATAGACTTGATACCCACCCCACCCCCTTCACCCAGCAGTAAAGGTGTCTCTCTTCTCTAGCAGCAATTAGTAAATAGATGGATATCAGTCCTTACGGTGCCTATATTTTACATCAGGTTTTCATATGAAACTCTCACCCAACATCCCTTTTTTTAAGTTTTATTTGCAATGAATCAGCTCGTCTAAACAGCAGAATAACAAAGTAGTGTCTGTCTTAGTTAGGGTTTTATTGCTGTGGAGAGACATCATGACCATGGCAACTCTTATAAAAGAAAATATTTAACTGGTGCTGGCTTACAGGTCAGAGGTTTAGTCCATTATCCTCCTGGTGGGGAATATTGTGGCACGCAGGCAGACTTGGTGCTGGAGAGGCAGCTGAGAGTTCCACATCTGGATCTGAAGGCAACAGGAAGAGACTGCCACACCAGGCCTGGCTTGAGCTTCTGAAACCTCAAAGCAAGCCCACCACCCCTAGTAACACTTCCTCCAGCAAGGCCACACCTACTCCAACAAGGCCACACCTGCTAATAGAGCCACTCCCTGTGGGCCTATAAGGGGCTCTGTTTTCATTCAAACCACCATAGTGTCAAAAAGCTGAAAAGCTGCGATCACAATCAAGACTGAGTTTGACTTAAGAATGCTTGAGAGTCCGTGGCAACCCTAAGCACCTAAGTTACTTTAGAATAAGTCTAGCCTAAAACTTCTTAGGAATCAGGCTGTGGGTACCATAAGGCTGATCTGATGCTCATCACCAGGGAGTCCCACTAGCAAACAACTCACACACACACACACACTCACACACATACACACTCACACACATACACACACATACACACTCACACACACTCACACACACGCACACGCACGCACGCACACACACTCACACACACGTGTATACACACACATACACACACTCACACACACATACACACTCACACACTCACACGCACACACACTCACACACATACACACTCACACACACTCACACACACACACACACAATGCATGAAGTGAATCTCATCTTCTACATACAAGCGAACAGCTGATGGATAAAACAGAAGCAAGAGCTGGGCCTGGTAGGTAGCACATGCTGTTAATCCCAGCACTCAGGAGGCAGAGGCAGACGGATCTCTGTAAGTTTGAAGCCAGCCTGGTCTACATAGGGAAGTCCCAGCCAGCCAGGACTACGTAATGAGCTATGCCTCATATAATAGATAGATAGATAGATAGATAGATAGATAGATAGATAGATAGATAGATGAGATTTCCTAAAGTAATTTACATTTGTCAGAGAAATAGAAAAAAAGCGAATTGATTTTAAAAACAAGCTCAGACTGAAATCAATTATAGACAGTGGGATGGGAGACGGGGGGGTGTGCAGGGGGAGCCCAAAGCTCAAAGGAGGTTGAAGGATGGTACAGCCTACCTGGTGATGAACGGTAACCTGGCCAGCCTAGAAGGAGGTGTCATTGACCTGGGAAAGACATTCATTAACCTGGGTTAATAGCTATGGCCCTGGACCTGTATTAGTTTCTGGAGAGTACAACAGTCTGCTGCATTAAGGATCAGTTCCCTTAAGGAAATTATGTGATCAAAAACATTCTAAGAGGCTATGTAATCAGGGCCTAGAGAACCGCTCAGTGGTTATAAGGACGGGTTGTTCTTCTAGAAGCCCTATGGCAGCTCACAGCCGGCTGCAACTCCAGTTCTAGAAGCTCTGACGCCCTCTTCTATACTCTGTGGGCACCAGGCATGCACGTGATACATCTACACACATATAGGCAAAACATCCATATGCATGAAATGAGAAATAAGTAAAAGAAATAAGAAGTTGTGCCGGGTGGTGGTGGGGCACCCCTTTAATCCCAGCACTTGGGAGGCAGAGACAGGGGAATTTCTGAGTTCGAGGCCAGCCTGGTCTACACAGCTAGTTCCAGGACAGTCTCCAAAGCCACAGAGAGACCCTGTCTTGAAAAACCAAAAAATAAAAATAAAAGAAGTTGCATCATCAAATAAGGCCAGCAATGATAATGGTCCCTTTGGTCATCTAGAAAGAAGATTAAAAAACACTATTTCCAGTATAGTTTTACAGGTAGGGAAACCACATCTGGGCCAGATTAAATAATTTTACTCATGAGATGGTAGAGCCAATTCTTGAACTCAAGAGTGGCTGATGCCAACATGCTCACTCTTTCCAGCAAACCCCCTGCCTCAGAACAAAGAGCAAAGCCTGAGCCCCCGTGCCAGCTTCTAATGCTCACCTGTAGTCTGAGGAGTTCATTTCACTTCCTGGATTTTGAAGGAAAAGATGGACTCCAAAGCTCCCCTGAGTTTCTCCCAACCCCAACATCCCTGGGTTTCATTTGCTATCATCTGGAATACGATGGAAAGACAGGGAGAGGCAGGATACAAATCTGGGACAGGGGAGTGGGGAGGAGGGGAAGTTGGTTGGCACAGTGTGCTGTTCAGAGACACAATTCCAGAAAGATGCTTCTTGCTCCTAAAAGAGCAAACTGTCCTAAGTTTGGGAATGGAAGCCAGAACAAGACAAGGAAGATTGTTCCAGAAGCTTCCAGTTTCAGTTGTCAGTGGGATTTGAAACAAGGTTGAAGGTCAAGCTTGCATTAGGTAAGAAGAGAGTAGTGCTGAACCGGCGGAACCTGACCAGAACCTGTTTGTTCCAGATTAGTTCTGAGAAAGCCAGCTTTCCAATTACTGTCACCTGTCTGTAGCTGTTTCCTGGAGTGAAGATGAAATCTCCACTTAACACTTCAGAAACTAGAAAGGATGAGAAAGCAACACACCACTCACACTCACACACACACACATACCACACACACACATACCACACTCACACATACATACACACACTCACACATACACACCACACACACACCACATACATGCACACCACACACACACTCACACATACACGCACACCACACACACACCATACACACACCACACACACACATACTCACACACACCACACATACATACATACAAACACACACACACCACATACACTCACACATACATCCACACACACTCATACATACAAACACACACACTCACATACACACATACAAACACACACTCACACATACATACACACATACACTCACATACACACACCACACACTCACACATACATACACACACTCACACATACACACACCACACACACACACACCAAGCAAGGGAACAAAAGGAAAAGGTTGTCATTCTTTGACGTTATCACTTTTTCTAACTATACAAATACCATATAATCGCTATAGAAATTTTTGAATGGACGGTAGCTATATTAAAATACCTCTAATCCTATTTATTACTTCAGTATGTAGCTGGCTCCTTTCCTATGTACAAGTTTTTAAAGTAAAATTAGGATTCTGTTAGATATGCAGCTTTGTCTTATTATTTAAATATTACCACTGTAAGCTATGTAAACTATGTCTTCCTGTTTCTAAAAATTATTCAAAAACAGCATTTTTAATGCCCACATGACGGTCTGCATTTTGGGCATTCCATGATTTACTGCACATGACTTCTCCTTGGCCTGGGCTTCCTAACAACACGGAAGGCCATGTTCTGAAGTCAAGACTCCCGAGAAAGAATGATACAGTCTCGCTGTAAGCACCCTCATGGTGCTCACTCTCCTATATAAATATGCAGACTCCGGCGGATGAGCAATTTGACTCCCTCATTAGAAGTGATTAGACCCTTTCTGCCCCGGCTGCCGTAAGCAAAAAGACCATCAACCATGCAGCCAGCTGGACTTCCTCTATGCCAGAACCAGCCATCCCAACACACCTTCAGAAGTCTGTATGAAGATCTTAGGTCCCTGCGCTTGCCCATGAAGATGCAGCCTCCGCGGGTGAGTTCTGAAATGCTTTGTACCTGTCTTCGGCTATCGCAAGCCCTAGAGAGCTCCAGATACATAATCCAGTAACCGTGTCTGCCTAGTCCAGAGAGGGAGCACTCCCCTGGTGCCCTAACAAAGGGGCTGCTGGGATTGTTAATAAAGAAGCAAGCCATGACTGAGCAAAACACAAACCTCAATGGCTCTGATTGGTCCTAAGAGGCAAGGCTGTGATTGGCCCACTACAAATAGCAGTGGTTGATCCTGTGGCCCCTCTAAGCTCTATAAAGCTGACCCCTCAGGCTCCGTGAACAAGCTGCTGCTGCAGACTCAAGTTTTGCAACATGGGACCCAGTGGAGGGCTTCTCCCCAGAGATCTTATGACTACTTCTAGTATCCGGGGCTGAAGTTATTAGATGAAGACCGCAGCAGGGACACTAACGCCAGTGACTGTGCCAGGCCCAGCTGTGAAAGCAGCAGAGCCTCTGGCTGTCTGCCAAATGAAGCAGGGACAGCACAGCTCAGAAGCCACCAGTGCGGGGCAAAGGTTAGCAGGAGAGGACAGACTGGAGAGAGGGCCAAGAGCTGAATCTGTGAGGAGCCTAAAGGCGGTGTGTGTTTACAAGCCGTGTGGTCACCTCGGGAGCTCCAGAGAGCTGTTGTATCTCAAGGACAGAGGTCTCTACCCCAGGCCAAGGGTTGTAACGCTGCCTTCAAAGCTGCCGTCCCCCAGCTGTGACACTGGCTGTGACCAAGGGCTGAGGAATCCCAATACTTGACACAAGACTGGAAACTATAATACCAGCCGCAGCTAGGCTGGCAGAAGAGCTGTAACCATTGTAGGACAAGGCCCTGGTGCACCGGCCTGCATGAGGAAACACCAGAGGGTACCACTTGGCCTGCATGGGGAAACCACTTGCCACTCCTACTTAAGACTGGTGTTGTCAGTGCAAGGGAAGTGAGAGCCCCACACTCCAGTACCTGAAAGTACCTGAAGAGCTTCTCCTTGTCTGCCCATGATTTAGAAGAAAAAAAGTCCCTTGCCAGCTGGGCAACATGAGTTCCTGTCCTCCTGAGCCAGGCCAGCCTGAAGGCTCTCAGGGAGGGAGGCAGCTGAGAGTTCCAGATGGTCCTGTCTTAGAATAAACCACATCCCTGAAACCAGAGGCAAAAAGCCCCAAAGGTCATGCCTTAGAAAGTCTAAGCCCCTCTCCCTTGCCTAAGGCAGAGTCCGCCAGCCGACAGAGCTCCGAGGGCTTAGTTAATACATCCCCAAAGGAGTCTTCCAGCCCATCAAAGAAGGCTCACAGGCCCACCTAACCGGCCCATCGCTGAGTCAGCTACAACTGTCCCTGGAACAAGGGAAGAGGAATAAAGGACACTTACACAGACTGGGGAGCTGGACAGCAGTTAAGAGCCTTTACTGCTCTTGTGAAAGACCTGATTTCAGTTCCCAACAGCCTCCCATAACTCCAGTTACAGGAGGTCTAGTGCCCTCTTCTGGCTTCCTCGGACATTGCACACACACACACACACACACACACACACACGGTACACATTTAGGC